TTTACGAGTCTAGAGGATTCGTACAAAGCCTAATAAAGTTAAAGCATGACTGCCGAATTAAAAAAAAAAAAAAAAAAGAAAGAGAAGGGAAATGAATTCATGAACATGTGAGTTACTGATCAAGTCATGGGCACTTGATTATTCAAGGCAATTACGTAAATCAATCAAGAATCAATTAAGCGCATAAAATTTATGTAATTAATTTAGAGTCAAATTTCATATGACCGAATTATTATGTAATTAAGGTATAAGTTTAATATCGGAAAATAAATTATGATACAATTAAGTTATGAGTTAAAAATATGTATATGAAGAAACCAAAATTTAGTGAGGAAGCTTAGCTTTTTTTTTGCTTAAAAAAGCTAAAAACAAAATAAAATTCAAAGGTTACTTATTTTCACTTCTAACTAAAAGAAAAACATACAAATTCACTCGTTCTTAAATGTAAATATATAAATATACCAATCCCGCCGATTTGAATTAGTGGTCAGGTAGCACCATGATAGGTATAAATTATAACGATAACATTTCACAGTCTTGTATAATAATCACATAATTCAATTTTCTGAATTTCTCATATTATGTATGCTTATATCTCTTTGAATAATATATATAAAAAGAATATTTATGCGCAAATTTTTTATAATAAATTAACAAACAAGCATTATTACCTGATTTTAAGAAGTTTTGAAAAATGCTTGTGGATGGGTCTAATATTCGAATTGTGTCTATTTAACTTGATCTTATATTAAGAAATTGTTGTCTAAACTTTAATATTTTTAGCTTGTTGATATAATCCAGTTTTATCATTTTTTAAATTGATTTAGCATATTAGCTAATTCTTTAGCAGTTTGTCAGTTTTGAGGTTCTGCATCTATGCATTTATTATCAGATCCAAAAGTAATTGAGAAACTTCACAACTAATTTCAGTCTGTAACTTTGACAAATATATTCTGTTAGATCTTCGTTGTGTAGAATATAATGATATGTAGAGTATCCAATAAAAACCTCCAATATAGTTATTATGAAAGAGTAAATAATCAAGTTAATTATAATACAAACCAACTCAACCTTAACTGCTTATATACTTCACGTTACTATAGGAATGAAGTTGGTTAAGGCATAAAATTGGAAAATTGGTTGGTCATGAAATTAGTTGGACACGAAATTGGTTGGGACACGAAATTGGTTGGAACATGAAATTGGTTGGGATATGAAATTGGTTGGGACACGAAATTAGTTGGTCACAAAATTGGTTGGGACATAAAATTGGTTGGTTACGAAATTGGTTGGTCACAAAATTGATTAGGACACAAAATTGGTTGGGACACAAAATTGGTTGGGACACAAAATTGGTTGGGACACAAAATTGGTTGGGACACAAAATTGGTTAGGATACGAAATTGGTTGGTTATGAAATTGGTTGGTCACAAAATTGGTTGGGATACAAAATTGGTTGAGACACGAAATTGGTTGGTACGAAATTAGTTGGGACATGAAATTGGTTGGGACATGAAATTGGTTGGTCACGAAATTAGTTGGGATATGAAATTGGTTGGTTACGAAATTGGTTGGGACACAAAATTGGTTAGAACATGAAATTGGTTAGGACATAAAATTGGTTGGGACATGAAATTGGTTGGTCACAAAATTGGTTAGGACATGAAATTGGTTAGTCACGAAATTGGTTGAAATATGTATGAAATTGTTTGAGACATGAAATTGATTAGGATATATACGAAATTGGTTGAGATATGAAATTGATCGAAATATGAATTTGGTTGAGATACAAATTTGATTGGGACATGAATTTGGTTGAGATATGAATTTGGTAAAGACATGAATTTGATTGCATGCTATATGAATTAGATTGTATATTATACAAATTTGACTGCATATTTTGCAAATTTGGTAGAAAAAAGGCATATTATTAGGGTTCCTAGGTTCAGTTCAGTTCAAATTTAGGTTCAATGAACCTGAACTGAACCTGAACCTGAACCA